GTGGTAAAGTTGGTTAAAAAAAAGCTTCCATTTTTATTGCTAAAATTAGGTATTCAGCTCCAAAAATATAAAGATATACGTAAATCAGATTAATAAAAAATTATATTGTGAGAGGATAAAAATATTTTCAGGATGAAGTTAACTTAAAAATAACAAGTTTTAAGTTATACCTAAAAATATTTTTATTCTCTCAAATCTTTAAAAATCCTGCTTTGACTCATAATAAAAAAGGCATAGTCTTTTAAAAGAACGTCAGTTTAGTTGAAAAGCCCTTCTAGTTTTGTTACTTACTCCCAAACAAATAATTTGAGTAGCGTAGGGTAATAAGTATTTATTGTTTTGTTACAATTTATGGTAAAACTAGATCACATCACTATGTTAGAATGTAACTTTATTACAAACAAGCGTTGTTCACAGCCCCTGTGCATTATATTTGTGTATAACTAGCGACTCGACCTCATTTCGCTCGGGTTCGTCTCTAGTTACGTGTTGACGCTCAGTATGGAATAGATAGACAAGGTATATAAATATACATAGGTATGATGAGCTCCATATTTCTTACTTGATTCCCCATACAAACTCCCACCCCCTTTTCATCCCCTTAAAGAATACTTCCGGGATAAAAACTATCCTATGTCCTTCCCAGGGTCTCAAACTATCTTCATACGAAATTTCATCTAAATCGGTTCAGCGCATTAAGCGTGAAAATGTAACAGACAGACAGAGTTACTTTTACATATTAGCATTTATAATATTAGTATGGATTGTTCCGCTCTTAAGGGTTAGACAGACCTCTGTCCAGGCTCTGATATCCAAATAGGATTTTTTTTAAATACAAACTGGTAGTAACAGAAATAAATAGCTTAATTGTATACGCAAATAGTTTAATATTAAACTGTTGTTATTTTTTCGTTAATTCTTATTCCAGGAAAACGAGAATGTGTGTCTAATAAAACAAAAGTGCCACTAAATAAGTTATAACTGTGTTGACATATGTAGGGTTGTAAAGTAATATTTAAATATCGATATTCTGTTTCATTTCTTTTTAAGCTGTCGATTATATTTAATTTTTCTATTAGTAATCATTTTAAGGTTTGTTCTAATCAATCAAATGGTTCACTTTCAATTTAATGAAATTACTGTCAAGTAAAACTTAGATAAGTAACAGTATATTGACTCTTAACTCAGTATATTTATTTCAGAATCTGCATGCGCAAAATTTGCTTTATTGTTGCTTGCTTTTAGAAATTTATAAAACTAATTCATATGTTAGGTACGTCTTAATGGTTAGTATGGATATCCCATAGAAACTGTACATTTTTCCGAGATAAAAAGTAACATTTGTGCTATTCCAAACTACGAGTATATACCTATAATCTATCTCTGTGCCAAATTTATGGATTATTTATGATTTATGGATCTGGATGAAATTTGGCACAGAGATAGACTATAGTCTGGAATAACATATAGGCTACTTTTTATCCCTGAAAATATACGGATCCCGAGGGATAGATTTGTTTTTGTTATTCTAGAGGTGAAGTGAGCCTCTAGTATATAATAATAGAAGAAGAAATAATATTTTTTGTCTATTTCCATTTACGCACGTCGATTTAATAAGATTACTAGAGATAAGAAACTACTCTAGCTTCGCTCGGGCACGTCTCTAGGTTCCTTTTGTATTTATAATATTGTATACAGGCAGCGCCGTCTATTTGCATATTTTATTTCTAACAGTAGCCTTGAACATATAGGCTAGGTCTACAAAATTTCATTACAATTAATTCGAAGGAGTAAAAAATATATTTACACATACAAACTTTCGCTAGCATAATAGCTGTAGTGTGGTTTAATATCTCTTTTCAAACTCATATATTGAATATCACACCCGCCACTTATGATGAAACGCTTTATAATAAAGTACGATAGGTATTATCGCTATATAGAGATGATCATATTATATATATTATGTAATCATAATTAAGTATCGATACTAACGTGAAAGTGACTGCCTGTTATCTTTTCATGGTTAAGCCGCTAAATTTCAATCAAATTTGGCAAGAACATAAATTGTATCCTGGGGACGGTTTAATATTCTCCCCACTTACCCTGCGACCGAAGCCACGATCAAAAACTAGTCTTACTAATATTATAAATGCGAAAGTTTGTGAGAATGTACGTATGTCTGGATAGATGTATGGAGGTTTGTTACTCTTTCACGCAAAAACTACTAAATGGATTTTGATGAAATTTTACAATAATATAGGTCATACATCAGATTAATACATAGGCTTCTTTTATCCCGAAAAAATGTACGGTTCCCGTGTGATAGATTTGTTTTTGCTTTTGCTAAAGCTGCTAGTTTTCAAACCAATATGGCTTAACTTAATGGATATCTACCCTGTTACTATTTTATGTTGTCCATCTTGGATTAGACGATATTGAGTAACGAAACGAACTTTTAATTTGCAACGTGTATAAGAGTGTAACATTTTATTTTTATTATATTGATTATTATTTTTACATAGTACAAGTATAAATGGAAAAATGATATATTTAATTAAGTTTCACTATTTTGTAAACCTAACCCAATTAGATCAGTGGTAACGCGTTTGCTCGGAAACATAAATAAATCGGGCTCAAAACCAGGATCTCATCCTTCTGGTATTTTCATGTGCGAATCATTTTCAACATGATTGACACTCGTGTTCCGGTGAAGGATAACATGTTGAGGAAACATGCATCTTTGAGAAAACCTAACGATTTGAAAGACGAATTGAAGCCGTCATCTACACTTGACCAGCCCCCTTGTATTGAGAGGAGGCCCGGCTGCCAGCCCTGGGACTGGGACTATTAGCATTGGGACTTAAAGAGCCGAAGTATAAATTGCAATTTAACGAATGGTAAAAACTTTTGTTTAGTAAATGATTAAAATTAGCGATTTTTGTAAGTAAAAATTAAATATTCTATAGCGAACCTAAGAAATATCGCTACAAGAGTTTGTATGTTTCTATGGGCAGACGGACGAATTAATTACCTTAACCGGAATTAAATAATATACCTAATATTTATTCCTGTAATTTTAATAAATCAAAAATCGTAAAAATCGTTTAATTGATTAATTTGTTCTTTGCTAGTTGCTTTTCATTTTAACAAAATACAGCGAATTAGTTTTAAGACTAAGGATATGTTAAGTCAAAACTAATATTCAAGGTTATCCAAAATATTTACTTCATGCGAGAATAGAACTCACGACCTACAGCGGTGCTAAACAGGAAAGAAGGAAGTAGGTAGACAGTAAGTGGGGAATTAATATTTGTTGACAAATTATTACGTACTTGAAATTAAAATAAGGTAATTGATATATTTTTGTAATAATATATAATTATGTAAAGTAAGTTAACAAGGTAGAGTTTTATGTAATTAAAAAAAGAGGAGTAATATCTATTTTCTCTTTTGTTTATATTATTTTTTCATTTCTTTCTATGCGAAAATCTACAGACTACAAGTAGGTTAAAAATAAATAATACTTATTAATAGATAGGTTGATTCCAGATACAAAATTTCATCTCCATTTTCACCCCCTTAAGGGATGATTTTCGGGATAAAAACTATCCTATGTCCCTCTTAGGGTCTCAAACTATCTTCTTACCAAATTTCATCTTAATCGGTTTTTGTGGTTTTGGAGCTTATTCGGTACAAACAAACAAACAAAAAATCAAATCTTTCCCCTTTATAATATAAGTATAGATACCTAATCATAAAACACTAACATGATTCACGTGATAGATAATTGAACCTAATTTTCATGATGATAATTGTCGTTTATTTAAACTGCAATTTATTTAATTTTAATTGTTAATTTGTTTTCAAATAAATCAACGAATATATTTTTTTAAGCATGTCAAAGCCATTTTAACATTATTTTGTCACGAATTTCTTTAAGCAGGTTAATGATTATTTTACAATCATTTATTAGATATCATTGGGTTTTATCATTATTAGAGACTGAAGACTCACCCTAGCTTCGCTCTGGTTCGTCCCTAGGTATGTTTTAACGATTAGTATGGAATAGATAGGTATACTCGTACTATATATTATATGATATAGCTTTCCTCGATAAACAGACTATCTAATGCGAAAATATTTTTTCATATCGGATTAGTAGTTCCTGAGATTAGCGCATTCAAACAAACAAAGAAACAAACAAACTCTGCATCTTTATAATATTAGTACAGAAACTTTCATTTATTAGATATGATCGGGTCTTAGCCATTATTAGTGATTATTAATATAATTATAGACTATAATAAAAAAAAGATTTTTTTTATGGTTTTTATCTTAGAACCTATCGAATCACGCTTCGCTCGGGTTCGTCCCTAGGTACGTTTTAATCGTTATTATGAAATACAAATCTTTGAATTTCTCAGCTTTTCATATGCATGTACGAGTATATTTCTCTTGAATCACTCTATCTATTAAAAAAACCGCATTAAAATCCGTTGCGTAGTTTTAAAGATCTAAGCATACATAGGGACAGACAGACAGCGGGAAGTGACTTTGTTTAATGCTATGTAGTGATGTCATGTCTCATTATTCTGCATTTGTCTATGGTAAAAGTTTTGTGACGATCAACAAGATATGAGTCAGCTTTACTTAATATATGTACATATGTGTGGATATAAGCAGATAACTGACCTATTTATTTTTCTCTTCACTAGTAGGTACCTACTACGTATATAATTGGTTTTTACCTATAGGTTTATACTTTATATAAATATAATAATTATATATAATATAAGTTTCAAAATTTAAAATAACGATGAATAAATAGTATTTATTATGATTTCTTTATTGACATTTTTTATCATCTTACATTTACTTAACTTAGATCTTTCTTATAAGAGTACGATTTTATATTTAATATATACATAAATAATTATTCTATTACAAAGCAATAATAATAGTATATGTTAAATATGAGTAATAAGAATAATAATTACCATTTGGGGATCCAGCTCGGAACATCGGGTTAGGGGCCATCCAGGGAAACGCTCCAAATGGCCAAGGTGCGGGCGCTGGGCCCTGGTAGAGTCTTGGCAGTAAGGGCTGAGGCACCACCACCTTTCTGCTTTCATTCTCATCTGGATCATTCGCACTCTCCCGTTCATCTCGTTCATCTCCCACATTCGATTCAATATCCTCAATATCTACTTCACTATCGTCAGTGTCAACACTCTCAGCGTCGTTACTTTGTGCATCGATAGCATCTCTAGTTTCCGGCTTGCTACCTAACAAGGAGTCCACACTAAACGATATTCTCCCCTTACTCTCGGCGGCCTCCGACCGCTCGCATTCAAGCGACGTCTTCATCTCATCTGCTCAATGTCATTTCCATTAGCACTGCGACGGGTTTTCACGTCGCCATTTCATTTATTTAATATTTTCACGATTTATTATAAAGTTCAATACCGTATTGCACTATAAATAAATCGAATCAAAGTAATTAAAAAGAAAACTGGAGAATAAATTAGTAATAAAAGTATTTTTGCAAATTTTCAACCGACTAGTATCACGTAAAACCAAGCAAAGCAACGGAGTCGGTTCATCACATCACATAACACTTTGGTTGTGCTCGTTGAAATCGGTTGTTACAGTAACATGAATTTGCAAATACGTTCGCGACCGCGTAATTCGCGTGGAGGCGCGTTGGATATCGCGCTAGCATTGGCGCAGCCCGCGGCCCTCCCTCCCTCTGCGAAAGAGACGAAGCTACGAGGCGAGGAATTTTAATAAGCGGCGCGGAGTGAGCGAGACCACGATACGATTCAACATGTGTGGAAACGCGATATTAGGTAGGCGGGGACCGTCGCGCTCAAATTAATAGCCTCTGTGGAATATGCCTTATAACAGTCAGCTCTATCAACGTAATTTAAACTCTATTTTTTTATTCTAAGGTCGCATTTTAGTTGTGTAAAGGTTTGTAGTAGAGTTGTTACGGTTGTACGTTAGTTAGATTGCAGTGGCTATTGTGTTGAATGAAAAAGGAGTAAATAGACGGGTGCCGTAGGCGGCGTAGAGGGGACTTTACGATTTAATTATTCGCGAATACGGAGGCATTTTGTAGCGAGCTAATGTCTCATTGTCTCATTAATATCTCGGGCAGCCATGTTTGATTTGTTTATGACACGGACTAGGTGCAAAGCGGGCGACGTTTCTGCTACTGCTTCTGAAACGTTTTGTACTGAATAGCTCGGAAACACAGATTCAATGGAACTTGGAATTAATTCCCAGCAACTTACATCTTTATTAGTTCGCTTGTAGGTGTACGGGCAACTTTCTCTTCCTTTTCGCTATTTTATTTTCGTTTGAGGTGTTTCAGCTTACTTTTGTGTAATGAAGAATAAGCACTTTTAATGTTGATAAATTTACCCTAGATACGTTTTTACGTTAAGTACAGATTTGTTAGAGATGAGATGAGAGATTTAGATTAAATTTCATCAAGTCCAGTGGTTTTCTCGCTATGCAGACAGACAGACAATAATTCTAAAAACTATAGATTCGGCCTTTGTATCGATAATAATGACTATTTCAGATTTTCTAAAAAAATATTTTATGTAAGCAGGTACAGATTCCGCTCAGAATTTTATTATATGTAAGTAAGTAAGATAAATAATAAAATTCTAATAGCGTTTGCAAATGGCTTTACTACCTCTATTTGGAACAATTCAATGGGTAGGTAAAGGTAGGATTACCCAATATATAAATTTCCTAATATATTATTTATAAGTAGGTACACTAGCGACCTTCGCTCCGTTTAGGTTCGTCCCTAGGTACGTTTTGACGCTTAGTATGAAATATATATTTTTTTCAAAATTTTTCGTGAATTTTTCCGATGTTTTGTATAATATAATCGGTCCAGCAGTTCTCAAGTTATAAGTGTAACAAACCTGACTTTGTTTTATATACATATATGGTATTGGTTATGAGTATTTTATTTATTTATTTTCATACTATAAAGTATTTCATTTATTGTTATTTACATTATATTAGCTAACCGCATGCTTTACGCGAAAATGAAGATTTGACTATGATAAAGCAAAGTCTTATATATAATAGTCATCTTTAGTTGCTATACCTACCTATGTATGTCTTAATTATTAATAATAGCCTTCGTAAGTTTCTTTTTACATTCAAGGTTTTTTTAACATTATTAGTTTTGTTCTCTTATTGATTTGGCTATAGGGTACGTCAAAATATTGTAGTTATATTATTATCGTAGTATTATTATACCTAATAATTATAGTTTATACGTTAAAGTAGGTATATCTGTTTTTTGAAGAACTTTGTTCCAATCTGGTGGCGATTTTGCACAATTTTTCTAAACTGACATATAATTTTTAAATGTAAACATTCAAAAGTAATTATCTTAGTGTATTTGTAACGAATATATTATTATTAAATTAATTTCCACTTATTTTCAAATATTTTCAACGTACAGTGGTGACGGCGTTAACAACTAAACACTATGTTCTTGAAAGATCCCTACGATTTTTACCAGTAGCTTAGAACAAAAACTTTTCTATCCTTAGAACAATACCTAATAAGTGTATAATAATTGCCATAGACAACCCAAAAGAGAAAAGGTTAGCAAAAACTATATTAGGAGGTTGACCTTGATTTCCATGTGATCTGAAATAACTTACAAAAAGGCTCATTCTAAGAATTTTACATATTAAATAAGAATTTTTGCCGATAATTTTATAGGTTGGTAAAACTAAATACTTACCTACATATCTATCAAGTTCCATTAGTTTTATAATATTAGGTAACTAGTTAGCTTTTTTCTGTACGGTACATAAGATTAGTCCTTAGGTAATACTCAAACGATTTCACTTGAAAGTAGAAGCCATTAAAAAGACATAAATACATCTAAGCTGATTACAAAAGAAAACCTATTTGAAATCAAATCGTTAGCGCTATGTCACTTACCGTTAATAGTATTATTTCGATACCATCTCTTTGTGATCTTTCTCTCAAAAAACATCATTTGTGGCACTCTATCTAACTGAAATAAGGTTCAATTTGCTATTGAAAGATGAATCAATTCGCGGATATTAACAAAAGACTTTCCCTTCAAATTGGCACGCAAAAGTGAACTTTATGGCCATATAATAAGCTGTATTCGTAGAGCATTGTTATCTCCCCTTACAGCCAATTAACGTGATTTAATTGTACAGGCAGATTACAGCTGTAATGGAGGAGGGTAATGACAATATACGGCTTTATGTCAAAAATACGATACCGATTACAGCATCAACGATTGTGGGAAATTGCGAAGGTCGCACAAAAGTATAACCTATTACTATAATAACACTTTTAAAAGATAACACAACAGCTTTAAGTCAATTAGCATTAAAGCCTTTATAAATAATACATATTTATGTTAATTTTTACTGAATTCAAGACTAAATTGTAAGATAATTTAGTTAATTCGATTTAAGTATTTGTACGTTAAAATCTGCTTAAATTCGTAAAAACATTTTATAAGCACTGAGCGCTTTATAATTTATGGTCAAATAAATTAAAAGAGAAGGCGTAGGAAAGTTATAATAAAAGAAAGAATCGGGTAAATGAGTTATTAAAGATTCACATTTTTATTTCGCCAACTTTTAATTAAGAATAAATGGCGTTAATATGAATTATATTAAAAAGAAAGCAATAAGCCAGACTCCCCTCGAGAGGCTCTTAAGAAAAACAGCTTAACTGAAAATTTATACCGAAATAATACGAAAAGGCAATCTTTTTTTAAATAACGACTTTCATATTCCCGAGTGAGGACAATTTAGCGGAGATGAGGTATTTTTTTATTAAAAACTGGGGGTAGCCGGGTGGAGGACCGTTCGGCCATTACAGCGCGAAATGAGTTTTTAGTTAGCGCCTTTTTTCAGCGGCTACAGGATGTTTATTTTATTAGTTGATTTTTAATATTCGTACTACTATTATAAGCGTGAAAGTTTGTTTGTGTGTATGTATGTTTGTTTACTCCTTCACGCCGTAACGGTTAGACGGATTTGGATGGGAATTAGTACACAGATATGACCTGGATTAACACATTAGTAATTTTGTTCATAGGTGACAGTCTGTATATAATATTATGAATACAAATGACAGTCAAAGACGTTAAGTTACTAGCACCTACATATAACTTTAGGTAACTAATTTGCAACTGTATAAATAAATCTTTCAGATAAGAAATTCGCTAATTAAATTAAAAATGTTAAATTATTGATGCTTATAGGTAATTGCCTTATCCGATTTTGTTTTTTTATTTAAGACATTTATTTTTTGCGTCTAATTGATTGTTACAGTAATGTTGTGTAACGTGCACTACAGGCAATATCATCCAATTAAATTCAATACATATGCAAATGAACATTATGGCATGAAGGTGTTTATTTAGATTTGCAATATTTATGGTAAAAAAATTCATGCATATTTAATGGTAAAATAAAAAAATACAATATAATTGGTAAGCATATCCATTCAACATGATATTGGCTAAATGAATTGTGTTCAAATGGCACGACTATAAGCCATAAAAGCAATAATTAAAATATGAATATATGAGCACATGCATTTAATTTATTATTAATGAAATTATAAGATGCTACGGATGATTAAGATCATGCTGTATTCTTGGGGCAATAGAAAAGCGGTGAAGTAATAAAACGTGTCGCTCTACCGCTGTCATCGTAAAAACATTTCCCGCCTTAATATTCTGCAATTGCCACTTCTCGTTATATTTCTACTCTTAAACGTATAAGGTAATGTAATTTCAAATAAAAATTTAGAATACCTACGTTTAATATCTTGATTTTTTATAAACGACCTAGAAAAATATCGTTGTTTTAATATTTTACATTGACGTTTACAATTATCGTTCATAATTTGTTAAGAAGGTAATTAAAATTATAGTTATTGTTATATAAAGCATTTTGTTCATAGTTATATTGTCGTTTTTAGTATTTATCTATCTACGTATTGGTATATACGGTACATTGGTACGTAAATGTGATTTAGGTTTTCTTTGGTTCTGTGCTTAATTTCTATTGAACATGTGATATCGTTATTGTTTTTTCTTAATTATAATATAAACGTACATCTACCAAGTATTTTTAATAATTACACAAGTTAATATGTCATTATAATATCTATAAGTATTAGTTCGTAGTAGATATTCTTTTTTTTTCAAAAAAAAAATATTTGTTGCACTTAGCAAGAGATATTTTTTACATAACGGAAACTAGCTTAAGTCCTATTTGACAGTCACTTTATTTCATAGAGATTATGTGTAAGAACCGATGTGTGTT